CCCGGCCAGGCTGGCGGAGGATGAGAGGGGCTGATGCGTGGAGGCCTGGCAGTGGCTGGGGGCACGCCCTGCTGTCCTGCAAGCCCAGGAGGCATGGCGGCACTCACCCAGGGAGGCCGGGAGGCTCTGCAGCCGGTTGGAGGCCAGATTGAGCTCCTGGAGGCTGCTCAGGCCTCCGACCTCAGGGGGCAGAGTGTCCAGGAGGTTCTCAGAGAGGTCCAGGCGCTGGAGGGCGGACAGGGCTCCCAGCGCCGCGGGCAGCGCCTGCAGGTGGTTGTGGGTCACGGACAGGAAGGTGAGGGCCGAGAGCGCCCCCAGAGCCTCAGGCAGCTCTGCGAGGTGGTTGTGAGAGAGCAGGAGGGCGCCCAGGTGGCGCATGTGCGGGATGCAGGCGGGCAGTGTCTCCAGGCTGTTGAAGCTCAGGTCCAGGTGCGCCAAGCGGGTCAGGCCACTCAGGCTGGCGGGCAGCGTGGTCAGAGAGCCCCGCAGGCAGGCGCCCCGCGCATCCCAGTGCTGCCCACCTGGGAAGGTGAAAGGCGGGGGTGGCCTCAGTCCCAGGTCCCAGCTTAGCCAGGGAGGGAGCTGTGTGCCGGGAGGCAAGGACCTCCAGGTCTACCCCAGCCGGACAAGGACAGACAGATGGAGACACTGGAGAGAGACCAGCAGGTGGAGGGAGGCAGGGGCCGGGCCTGAAGGCTCATCTCAGCCGGGAGCCATCACCCAGGACCTGCCCCGGGCAAGCGTGCACACTGCAGTCTGCCGGGGACCACCACCAGGCAGCTGCGGGCCGGGAGCTGGGGCGCAGCCTGTCACGTTGGGAGAAGAGGGGTGGGCATGCTGTATGGAGAATAGTGGTGGCGGCTGGGAATGGGGCTGGCCTTTGGGGACGGAGAAGCAGGGGCAGGAGCTAGAGATGGGGTGGGAGAGGGCTGGGACCAGGTGGGGCTCACCTTTGAGGACCAGAGAGCGGAGGTGCGGCAGGCTCCTCGGCACCTGAGCCAGGGCGGCCCCCAGCAGCCGAGGGTCTTCGTGGCCACTCAGCTGCAGGAACTCCACCCGCAGCAGC